ATATTTAAAATCCTACGGAAAAGTAATTACTACCCTGTATTTTTTGAATGGAAACGAAAAATTTTAATACTATTTTATTAACTATATTTCCTCAAATTTTTGTGTTTATGCTTTGATAAATATGAATTTTTATAACTTTTTATATACATGGGGTTGAAATCCGACTTTTTGAAAAATGGCGGCTGCGTTGGCACAGGCGGCGCACTGGACTACGATCAAGTGTTTCGATCCTGAATTTACTCTGAAATGTACCAGTAATAAATGTTTGGTAGACTAGGAAACTTTATCTCGTCCTCAGTATTTTACATGACTAAAACGGTTTCTCTGTGTATGTGGATAACAGTAACTAAAATAAAAGACAAGGCTAAGAACTGGGCGAGAGTTTCACTGTGCAGTTCCATTAGAGAAAACAGACGACCAGCCCGTAGAAATATACCGTTTTCAAATTATTATTATTTCATACCTGTACACTGTACATGCATATACTTTGTTTACATATTTAATGTTTGATAATATCATAGTAACTAAGATATTTCACATTTATAACTATAACAGTTTCGTTTCATTTAACAATATGATTCTGATAATTAATTTGAACTGTTGACGTTTGTATTTTTTGACGTTGCAGATTGCTCCGGGTGTTAGAGAACGATATCACTTCAAATGTTATTACTCGAAAAGATTTCAAGTAAACATGATAAAATTTCGTAATTTATCTGCCAAGAACACGCTTTATCCACCCTGAAAATTTTATGAAGATACATTAATTTCTTTAAAAAATATGAGGTCAGTCTACGAAATTTTGGGACAACCCTCGTATATCAAATTTTTAACGTAAGTTAAACTTTTAGGATTGCTACCTCCTAATTACAGATTTTTTATCCCACTTAAAACGTATTCTAAGCTTTCAAGTCGTGTTTGTTCACGGTAGAATTGTCATAAATATTATATTATTCCCAAATGCGCTTAAAGTTTACCAGAAGTTTGTTTTAAAAAAAATCTTTTGAGCAAAAAACTTAATAACCACGTGTTTTATTTATTTTCTCATGGGTTTGTCTAAATGTTGTTATCTGATTGGTCAGAAGGACTAGCGCCTTGTTTATTCTGTGCATTAATAGCAATTCACGGTTATCGTTCTTGACTTTCTTATTTGGAAATCGTCCAGACCTGTTCTAGAATGTTTTTTTTTTGTTGTTGTGAAGATTAGTTTATCATCAACAGAATCATAAGCTTACCTGCGCTGTCTTGTCAACAAACGTTTTGTGAATAAATTGTCTCACCAAGCATGTTTTACCGACATTAGTTGCACCTATAATTACGACTTTGAAAACGAAATCGCACTCATTGTTTTGGGGAAAACTCATCGTGAATTGTTTTGAATTGATTGTAAAACGAAAGTACACACGTATCTAAATATATAGCAAAACACTGGTGTGCGTATACCGCACCAAATCCATTTTTTTATCAGTGCAAAATTATCACCATTCAATTGTTATGTTAACATACTATATAATCACAATCTGACCTTAAAAATCATGATGAAACAAGATTTGTTTGTTTGTGAAACACTGATGCCCTTCTTTAAAAAAACCTCGTGGTTAAAAGGTTAAGATTCAAAAATGCAAGTCAAACTCAAAATTTAAGGTAAAGAGATGAAAGAAGTCGGTATCCAAGGATACAGTGAATAACACGATGAATATATTTCTGAAAAATGAAATCCCTACCAATAACAGTTCAAAAGTTATTGCCAAGGTTCAAGTTTTCAAAAGTTGGTGAAATTCATGGGCAAATTTTAGATGATCAAAATAGGTGGAATACAAATACGTATGAACAATTTCTAAAACGAGGTAAATTATCGAAAAACAAGTTGGTGAAACAAGAATTTCAGCGGTCTCGTTTGAAGTCATCATCTCTTAAGTTCTATGGTCGATACAACGACCTTGTCAGCAAACACAATTGATCATTAAGGCAAATGCTGACTGGCTTTTTTCATACAAATTGTTAGTCCATTATTTATACACTGAATTGACGACGGATTTTTCCCGTTGTTTCCCATTTATCATGACAAGGAGCACACGGCGGGTGTGACTGGTCGGCAGGGGATGCTCACTTCTCCATGGCACCTGATCTCACCTCTGATGTTTTGCAGGTCCGTGTTTGCTCTGTTCCTATTTTGTATTGTTTATATTCTTTTGACCTTGAAAACTGTTCGTTATCTCCATGTTTTATACTCGTGTAATAAGAAAGCCCTGACGCTGACATCAACCATTCCAAAGTTATGAAATAATTTAAAGGCTCTTTTAAAAAAAAGTTCAAGATCAATGTCAATGGGGTTCGTTTTTGGTTTCAAAGGAAAAACATGCCACAAAAAAAAATACACCTGTAAAACTAGAAAGCCCTTGCACTAAATATTCAAAAAATATAACCAAATTTAAAGAATTTCAAAAGAAGGTCAAACTCTAAGATCATGGCCAAAATTATTTCTACCCAAAAAAGTCTTATCTGGTCAAGGTTAAAGTGTGGTAAAGTATTTAGGGAAGGTCAATTTAGGTCAAGGTAGAGATAAAAGTTTAAGTGGTCAAATATGTTGGAATGTCTTGAGAAAGGCCTTGTAATAAAAATATACACTTGAAAAATATGTAATAGCTAAAATGAATCAGAAGTTATGGATAAGATTAATGGGGTTTTTTGCGAACAAATAGACAGACACACGGTGGATATAAGGGAGAAGAAAAGGGTTATAATCATGATAAACTTAGAAAATTAAGATGGTGTTCAACTTCCTATACTTAACCTTTACCTCAAAACTGAAACACTGCTAATAACAGATTTGGCCTCTAGTTGTAGTATATGATATGTTATTTTCAAAAGTAAAGTCCTAAAGAAAACACATCCAAAAATCTCCTCTACCCACCTTCGCTAGCCAAGGATTTTCGGTCCTATGGGGGCTGGCTGGACCGAAAGCCCGTAGTATGCGAAGATGAAAATTCATTTACAAAATACATTTATCTTCTGCCTTTTAACGCCAGTACAATTCTTTAAAAAAAAAATACGTATATGCATTTTGTTTGATCACAAAATATGTTATCTTACATGCTGTTAAGGTTTATAATCTATCTGTTCATATCATATAAATGTAGCTTAAATGCTTTTAAAAATTTCGAAATTCAAAAGTAAACTATTACAAAGGTAAAGAGCTAATAATTTAAGACTATTCTATGATTTAAAATTGGATAAAACCGAAAAAAGGACACTTTAATTATAATATATAACCGAAAAGGACATTTATATATCCCATAAAGTGATATCTCTCTTAGAAGCATATCGATATACTTTTCAGACATTTACTGACTTATCAAACGACGGATCAATCAAGAACGGGAAAAAAAAGTCAACAAAATTCAAATAACCTCAAAATTACGTTCTCTTGAAGCAAATACTCTTGATTTTTAATTTAATTACAATTTTATATAGGACTTGAAATTTATTGATAATACCCTTCAATGTTGTACAGATAAACCACTTTTCAACAAAAAGGTCTTTATTTTATATGAACACAGAACACTTTTTAATCAAATTTTGATCATTCACAATGAAGTATTTTGAACACAGGAAGTAACGCCTAGCAGAAATGGGATGTATATGTATATATCTGTTACCAAAACAAATTAAACGCAAAAAAAAACTTTTTTCCTCTTTTCTTATAATTTTGGAACATGTCTAACAACATGTGAACTCAAAGGAAGGTAAGACTTCTTATTCAAAGTTCTAAAATTGGGATGATGTACTTTAATCAAGTAGTGTTTTAAAGCTTCATTTCCTGAAATGTTAAGAGTCATTATCCGTCACTTGTAAAATATTGTCATATTTGCTGAAATACTATCAAAATTTTGTCTCAATATGATTTCGTTGTACTATTGGCAGTTTAAAGCAATAAAATGTACAAAGTGAAGAACACTAAAAACAAAGAAGAAAAACAGAGTGGACTTCTTATTTCAGATAAACTAGTTTGATCGTCCTGTTTATGATTTTTAATTTCTAATTTCAACAAAGTTAACTTTGGTTAAATATGAGATGATCAAGTTTAAAATGTACCAAGAAAAGATAGTACAATCGGCAGACACTTAAATGATATTAACACGTGTGTCTTTTTATCGCTAATCATACATAATCAAAGATTACAGAGCTTTTAGTAAGACAGGAGGCCCCACGCTAAACTAATAAATTAGTAATGTGCATCCATGGATGAAACATTTATGCAGTTTCGGTCTATGCAGGGCTTGCAGTTTCTCTTGAAATAACTAATATCAAAAACTATAAACTAGCCACTTACTAGCATTAAAAATGGGGGAGATCCATCATCCACATTGAGTCAACTAGCATGCATCAATGCAAGTTTGTTCTATGAAAGGTTTGAAATTGAAAAATTGCTTACTTGGTCACTTCATCATAAAAAGCTAAGCAAATCCTTCACCCTAAGCAAAGCTAGCTGTGTGGATGAAGCATTACATGTATCCATGTTAAGTGGGTCTTAAATAAGGCTTGAGGTTACACTAGAATGAACCTGTTCCAAAAGCTTACCTGCTATATCTTCAGTAAAACGTCGACCAAATCCAGCATCTATGGCAAGTTTGATAGTGTGCATTGGGGGATGAAAAATCCATGCATGCTAGATCTAGTTACACAGGAATAAGCCTGCTCCAAAAACTCGGGCATTGTCACTCATCCAAATTATGTAGGTTAAATCCAACATCAAAAGCAAGTCTAACGATGAATTTCTGGATTCCAAGTCACTTTGGTAAGACAGGGTTTGACGTTACATATAAAGAAATTGCTTCAATAACTTTAACCTGTCCCATTAACATTAATATGATCATTCCTTGGCTGTAAATGCAGTATATAAACCTTGATATTTATTTTCTTTAGATCAGCCAACTTTTTTTTCATCAATGAATTATGTTTTTAAAACAATTTGAACAGTTTATAAATGTTAGACTTACAGCTTCTGCATTGTAAAATCTGTTATGAGTAAATCTGGCCACAAGGCAAGTTTTCCCAGCAAAGGTATAGCCTAGCAACACAATCTTTACGGGTATTTCGTTTTCATCAGATTTTCCCATAAATATATCTATATATGTCTCATAAACACGTCTAACATAAATGAGTACAACAAAACAACTGATCTCATGAACACTTTTTTTTGGTTTTTATTAATCAGATCAAGTAGATGACAACTTCCCTCAAGTTTCTACTTGAGGGAAGTAATAAAAGATTTTCTGAAATAATATAAACAAATAATAATTGTATTCACATCATATCGACAGTTTTATTTATAAGATAACTAGGAAATCCCAACGCGGAATTGAAATACTTTTATATGTAAAGGCACATCATGAAGCATTGTTTGAGATACAGCAATCAGACAACAAAATCACACACAAAATCATACGTAGATAAACGTGACAATTTTGGACAAACCGCTAAATTGCAAATGATAATATAAACCGCAAAAGGAAGTTTAATAATATCGAGGAAGTTGTTTTTCTCTTATCCTACCCTTTTATGACGGTTCATTTTACCAGTGTCTATGTACTACTAAACTATCGATGACTCAGAGTACTAATAAAACGAATCCAGGCAAAAGGATGAAGAAGAAGAATTGGAGATGGCATTTACAAACATATACGTTCCTAACTGAAGTACATGTACATACCTTTTATATTAAGGTTTAATTTCTAGGAAGAAATTAGTTGATTGCAACATGTCCAGGCCAGTTACACACATATCATGAATTCCCTTTCAATTTTTGTCTATCGTAGATAAACGCAAGGCAGTATACTGATTATCAGATGCAATTAACATTTTCTCTTTTTTTTCTTTTTTTTTTTTTTTTTACACTTCGTTATTACGGGGAAATAAACCTGTGTCATTTTAAATACGATTTATATCGTTAAGTCGAATAATGACTGATCAGCCCTGATCGGGTCAAGTACAAAATAAGACGAAAATAGTCCTATCCACATTATCTGCAGTAAATCGGTTTTGTTATTATAATATTTTTGTAAGATCATAAATATTCATGTATAATTATATCAATTATATTCTGATATAAATATATGAACAAAACATTAAATGCAAATTACTTTTTAATGAATATTAAACAAATGAAATTGTTTTCAGAACAATAATTTGAAAGGTCGACAGGTTGACAGGTCGACAGGCTGACAGGTCGACAGGTAGACAGGTTAACAGTTTAAATTAAGAACAACAATTTGACAGGTTTGACAGGTCGACAGGTCAACAGTTTAAATGAAGAACAAAAATTTGACAGGTTTGACAGGTCGACAGGTTGACAGGTTATATCATAAGATACATGTATATTGAATGCCTGAAAGTCTAAATTTTATTCTCATTATATATGAGCAATGTCTGATAACAGTTAGATGTATATACATCTCCATTTGACACAGAAACCAAATTACTTCAACAATGTGTGTTATGCTGACTCATTTTACTATAAGTGAGCTGAATATATAAATTGTCAACAGGTCTTATTGTCAATTCAAAATACATTTGAATAATGTTGTCAACCTGTCAACCAGATATAAAAGCACATTTATTAACAAATTTACTTTCAAACTTCACAGTATTATTGATGTCAACCTGTCGACCTGTTGACCCGTCAACCTGTCTACCTGTCGACCTGTCTACCTGTCGACCTGTCAACCTGTCGACCCATCGACCTGTCAACCTGTCGACCTGTCCACCTGTCAACCTGTCGACCTGTCAACCTGTCGACCTGTTAAGCAGACATATAAGGATTTTTTTGAACAAATGATATTTTATGACTTGGAAATATATATTTACACTAATGTCAACCTTAGTAGCATTTATAATAATGTCAACCCGTCTGCCTGTCGACCAGACATAGTAGCATGCTTATGAACAAATGTTCATTTATGACTACTAAGTGCACATTAAAATTTATTGATACTTACATAAAATCATTTGTAAGATACATATCTTGTTTCGTACTTTATGATCCATTTTATAAAATAATTGGTTGACAATATAGAATGCAATTGGTTTATATAACTAATTTACCAATAATGGCCCCAAATATTCATTAATATTCACATTTGATTCATATGCAAAATATGCTAATTTATTTTATTTTGTACATTTATGAATATTGATGAATATGCAAAAAATAATATTCTTACGAGAAAAAAAAAATTGGAACTATTTTCGTCTTATATTGAACTTGAGCCAATTTTTCTAACGAATCGGTAGACCATTATTTCCACATTGAATTTTCAACGGATTTCTCCGTTTCCCTATCATGACAAGGAGCACACGGCGGTTGGGACCAGTCCATGCCTACTCTTCCTAGGCACCTGATCCAATCTTGTTTTTGGAGGTCCTTGTTTTCTCCGTTCCTGATTTGAATTTTACAAATGGATTTTTGAGCTAAAAGGCTGGTAGTTGTCGTCATATTTCAATGTTTATGAACAAGCGACTACACATTTCATATTAACAAGTGGCATATGAGCCTTTACAACGATAAAGTGATTTCATACTAGACCTACATCTTGAAACCAAGTACCCTTGCTTTGTTTGCAAGGTAAAAGAGATTCATTATATTATTATATAGAATAGCTTGGCCAAAACTCGTCAACTGGTTTTAAAAATATGTACTTTCATTAAATATGACCTATTTATCCCCTTTTATGGAACCGATAAATTTCGCATTTCTGGGTAATAGCTAACTGTTAGACGACTGCGAATACAGTAAAGGACATACGAAAATCCATTGTTTGAATTTTTATGATTTTGCAGCATTCCTCCACCCTTAGAGGCTAGGACTTTGAAATTCATAAGTCTTGCTCTGCTGAATAAAATTCGTTTGAACCGAGCAATGTATTCAAACAACACATGGCACATACAAGACGTGTATAAGTGCCTTCAGTGTCGCTTGAGTATGAAACCCAATTCAAAGGTTGAACAACTCTATTGGTCGAAATGCAAACTTTTCATAGAGATACGCATTTAAATTTAATATACAAATGCATTTTCAAGTTATTTTTTCATGGACTCTGACAAAAGATTTATAGACTTAAAATACATTTCTTTGACAACTTTATTTTTAAATATTTTAAGATAAACCACTTGAATCCATGTTTCTCAGTAAATAGGAAGATTCTTAGGATATATACAGATATAGATCTCTTCAAAAGGTGATCTTATCCCAAGGACAGATTCTAGACTTGAAAGATGCATTTCACGGTTCTGTTTCCCTTCATCATCATTCAGACATTCAGCAGGTCAAACCTAGCATCAAAACAAGTCTCGTAGTGTGCCCCTCTAGAGAGATACATCATCATGCAAGTTTGATAACAATAGGGCGTCAATTTTTTTTTATAGAATGAAAGTGTTTTAAAATTTATCCAGATCAATCCAGGGACGTAGCAACAGTGGGGGGGGGGGGGGGGGGGGGGGGCTGTCCCCCTTTTTTCCCAACATTACCTTTACTATTGAAAATGACCATTGAAAGGTTGGTTGCCCCCCCCCCCCAACTTCTTACCACAGTATAGTGATATTAAGGAAATGTAGTATTGTATGCCAAAAAATTGGAGGTGAAAGGAAGTTGGCCTTGAAAAAAAGTTGGCCACTAACCCCCCCCCCCCCCCCCTCCCCACGAAATAGGATTTTCGAGTTTGGGCACTTTCCCTTTTTTTTTTTTTTTTGCTTGTCAGCTTTTACAGGTAATCAAAAATTTTTTTTCTCTGGTCCCCCCCCCCACTTTCAAAAACGATGCTACGTGCCTGCAATCCTTCACAAGTCAGTTTCAGCATCCGAAGTATGTTGACATTTTTCACCTTTATATGCATCCCAAAAGCAAGTTTGGTTCCCAAATGCGTTTGATGGGCTTACTAAAAGAATCTGGTCAATCAAGCAGAAAATATATACAAATTTTTGAAGAAAAAAATGGTTGGTTGTCTGCATCCTTAGATGCATCAACCATACAAGTCTGGTCGCCATTGAGCTAAGGTTATTTGGGGGGAATGGGACTTTTTTCCAATACTCATCTGGAAAATTTAGGTCACATCCACAATTGGAACAATATCTGGATGCATCATCTTTGCAGTTGTGGTTCCTTTTATGGCTTATCTTGTCACTCATTAAAAATGTTGGTAAAATCCAGGTTCTGAGACATGTCTGGTTTTATGCATCCATGATAATTTAAATTCATATTGTAACGAAAATTACTATTAAATACATAATTGGATTGGTTATTTACAGATACCTCTCTAGAGTACAAGAGCTTAAATTATACCGATATAAGCATATTATAGGACAATATTTTTTAAAAATAAAATTGATAATGGTTCTGTTATTAAAAAGTATTGATTGGTTGTTGTTTTACGTAACATTCGAGATTTTTTTTACTCATCAATAGAAATGTCAACATATATCGATAAAGGGCTTCAAATTTAGACCATTTCTCGGCACTTATACCATTAAAAAACGAGGGATCTTTACCGTGTCACCATATTCCTTACCACAGGTCCTCGGTTTTTATGGTCTTATCCGAAAAAACCGTAACTTTCACCTCAAAGTACTCAGCGCTTTGCAAAAATGTATCTCCTTTTCTCGACTAAAGTCAGTCGCGGCAAGGTTTCGAAACCACGACCTTTAAAAAACGAAGAGGGGGTTAAATAAAAAAAGAAAGGAAAATTACTATACAATCAATATGTACTGGTACCTGTTGCAAAAACAGGAAATAAGATTTTCTTAACGTTTGTTTGCGAGGCTCATTATTTTAAATGTACTGTAGAGGAACTCGGATTTAACTCTGGAAGTGTTTAGTCAAATTAAACTCATTGTTCCCTTTCTAAGGAGGAAATTCTTCAAAGCCTTTTTCAAATGTAAAATATTTCCAACAATTGAATTATCATATTGAATTCAAAAACAACATACGGTAAACATCTAAACAAACAAAAATACACAGTGAGTTCCAAGAAATGTACTACAAAGTCTCTTTCAATAGTTCTTACTAAAATATTAACAGCAATGAAGTAGATACCTCATGAGTACTATGCCTATTTGAGATAAGGTGTTAATCAGATTTTGATACACTCAAACTCCAAGGAACTTTCAGAAAATTTAAAATGCTAGAGGCAGAACCCTGCTTC